CATTTTCCTTTTTCTCTTCACTACCTATGCTGTATTTAAACTCTTCCTTCTTGGCATTAATCTCTGCATTCATAAGCTTGTAGTCTTGAAGGGAGTACCATCAGTAACTGTTGGAATTTTGTGTTTATTTCCCTATTCAAAAGTCACTTGAAATTCATAGTATTCTCCAACTCCTATTGATACTGATGACATTCCTATTTTATTTGTGATTGTCTCCATATGCATATATTTTTTTAAATATTTGAAACAGTAATGCATACTGAATTTTTATTCTGCTTTTTTACTTGACCTTATATCAATTATCCCTTGTTTTCATAGGCTTTATATTGCCTTTTCAAGTTTTAAACTTTTTAAATATAATTTTCTATTTATGTATTACTGATTTACAAGTCTTAGGAAGTACAAAAAGTAACAATGAAATGGGAAAAGTAATTCCATCTCCCAGAGGCAAACACTGATAATATTAAAATTTTTCCCTTCCAGGACGTTTTTGTACATATATTGACAGAGATGATACTGCACCTATAATTTGGCATCCTGCTTTTTTTCACTTGTGTTTCATAATCATTTTTCTATGTAATTTAAATTATTCATAAACATAATTTTCAATGTCTTCCTAGTGTTCCACCATATGGACATTCTCCTAACATCAATTACAATTCTCATTATTAACAAAAATTCCACATGAACATTTTTGTGCATAAATTTGCATCCATATTTCAGGTTTTTTTTTTTAGGATATATTTCTAGAAGGGGAGTATAAAACCACAGCATCATCTTCACTGAATACTAAATTCTGATTCATTTTCAGTTACTTGGAAGCATGACGTTGAGTGTTCTTTTTTAAAGGTGGGTGTGGAAGGTATAATACTTTTATAGTTTGTACATAACTGGAATTGCTTATTCTTGCCTTCATTTATGATCGTAATTTGACATGCTATCAATTATTGGTCCATAATTTTTTTTATTTCCATACTCTACAGATATTGCTCTATTAGATTCTGTTACTTAATAATGCAGAGACTCTTAGAGTCATTTACTCGATTGTAGATTGCATATTTTTCCTGACTGGATTTTTACCATTATTCACTCACAAATCTGTATCTCTGGTCCAGAGGGCTCCTTTGAACACTAAGGACTTACATGCAATAGTTAATTTATTCTTTCTACTCTGATATCTCACAGGCATCATAATTGATGCTGATCCAACATGGATTCCCAAACTTAACCAATCTCATAAACAGCACCCTTAGTCTCCTTCCCCACTGCACAGAAACACTCAAACCTGGTAGATTCCAGCACATATACTTGACCATCCATCCAGCAGCTTAGGACAAAAACCTGGAACTTCAGTTTCTTCTTTTTCCTTATATCTCACATCCAGTATCTCAATGTATGTATGAATTGTCCCTTCAAAGCATAACCTAAGTAAGTTTACCTTTTTCCATCTCCACTGCTAACATGCAGGTGTATTATAGCTTACCAAGAATACTTCAGAAACTTCTTTAAAAATCTCACAGATATAAATAAAATAAAAATACTGCCTTAAAATAGAAAAAAAAAATCTCAGATATTCCCGTGTTCCATTCTTCCATAGAAACTTAACTGATCTTTTGTTAAAAATTTAGTCTTATTTTTGTCAATCCTGATATTAAAAATCTTTCAGTGCCTTCCAGCAGGAATGACAAGAGTACTGGTAGTTAAATCCCAAGTCCTCACCCTGGCTAACAGAGTCATAGATGATCTGCTTCTGTTGTCTCTCATGTAATGTAGTCAAAATATAGGAAGGATCTTCTTTCAGTTCCTAGAATATACCAGCTTGTTCCACTTTTAGGTTCTTGTCAACAGCTATTTTCTGCTTATTGCTCTTGCCTTGATTTAAAGTCTGTCTTCTCAGAGGGGTCTCCCCTGACTACCCAACTTTAAGTGACCTCTGGTCCTTTTGTCCTGCATCACATCACTCATATAGTCCTCATCATAGCACTTATTAATATTGATGGTTTCCTTTTTTAAAAAATCTTTTCATTTATTTTCTGCCCCTCTTATCATAAAAGCAACATTTCCATATTCTTTACCTCTGTATCCCCGGAATCCAGAACAGTACTCTATAAATAAATTTAAATACAAGAATGCATCCTCTCTTTATTGCACTGTTATTTATGTTGACAAAATTTATCTACATATGTTCTCTGACCTCCACATTTCTTAGCTGCTCCATCAACATTTCACCTCCTTGAGTTTTTGCTCCTCCTTCTCAGGGACAATTTTGTCTTCTGAAAAGTCCTGTCCAAAATGTCAATTTTAATCTTTCCTACCTCTTGTGTAGATAGTAATTTTGCAATTCCATTTTCAGGCTCCCTTCATCCTAATATTTCCTTTTCTCATCCCTCTCCTCCTCTTATCTTGTTGGTTTAATATGAGCTTGCACTCTCAATATTTATTTCTATCCCTGTTTAATCCAAATTATTTTATTTTTCATCTGAATACTGAAGGTACATTATTTTAAATCTTTGCAATAATCTTAGCTTGTCTTACAGTATTTTTGTAGTCCTCATGATGTATATTATTGTTTACTCATTCTGAAATTAGGGAGAGATTTAGTTAATTCTTTGCTTCTATGAGTTTATTAGTTGGATAGCAGATTAACATGTGTGCTCCTTGCCCAATTCTTACTCACAAGCTGAGCTGAGCTCTGAACTGATGAAAAGCTTAATTTCCCAGTATGTACAGCTTTGCTCCCACAGCTCTTTCTCTTTCCACTTTCATTTCAGTACCTGATTGTGAGGACTACTCTTCTCAACATGCACAGTATCACTGACCCCTATCCCTTTCCCCACTGTCTGCCCACTCATTTGTTTTATGTATATTAAAATGTAACTACACCAAGTTGGAAACTTGTATTCTGGCTACCTCAAAGGGTAGCATACACTACTAGTATGATAACTAGTATGATTTCTTGCATGTAAAAACATTTATTTTTTTCTAGGAAAAAAAAAGAAGATAGAGAAATAATAAAAATCATCCTTAAAAATGTCACGTGAGTCAATCAAATGGGGGCCACTGGTAATGCACTTCAATCCAGTTCTTCTGTCAGCCCTATAGTTAGGGGGAAGCCTCCCAATTTTAGAAATGGGTTGCCTCTTTGTCCAAATTTTCAGTGTTGTGAGTTCAAATATTTTGTTTTCACCTATCCCTCTACTCTCCTCCCCTCTGGCAACCACCAGTTTGTTCTCTTATTTTTACCTTTTTTTCTTTGTCCATTTGTTTTATTTCTTAAAGTCCACCTATGAGTGAAATCATACGGTATTTGACTTACTTCACTTAGCATTACACTGTAAGCTCATGCATGTCATTGTAAATGGCAAGATCTTATTTTTTTTTAAGATTTTTATTTATTTATTTGAGACAGAGAGAATGAGAGAGACAGAGAGCACATGAGAGGGGAGAGGGTCAGAGGGAGAAGCAGACTCCCCACCGAGCAGGGAGCCCGATGCGGGACTCGATCCAGGGACTCCAGGATCATGACCTGAGCCGAAGGCAGTCGCCTAACCAACTGAGCCACCCAGGCGCCCCGATCTTATTTTTTATGGCTAATATTCCATACAGATATATATATATATCTTTATCCATTCACCCATCATGGACACCTGGACTGCTTCCATATCTTGGCTCTTGTAAGTAATGCTGCAATAAACATAGGGGTGCATATATCTTTTTGAGTTAGTGTTTTCATTTTCTTTGGGTAAATACCCAGTAGTGGAATTACTGGATCATATGGTATCTCTATTTTTAATTTAAGAAATCTCCATACCATTTTCCACAGTGGCTATACCAACTGACATTCCCACCAACAGTGCACTGAGAGTTCTTTTTTCTCCACATCATCACCAACACGTTATTTCTTATGTTTTTGATTTTAGCCATTCTGACAGGTGTGATATTGTCAGACAGTGATGTTGAGCATCTTTTCATGTGTCTGTTAGTCATTAGTCTGTCTTCTTTGAAAAATGTCTATTCAGGTCCTCTTCCCATTTTTTAATTGATTTCTTTTTGGTGTTGAGTTGTATAAATTCTTTATATATTTTAGATATTAACTCCTTATCAGATATATCATTTGCAAATATCTTCTCCCAATCAATGGGCTGCCTTTTTGTTATTTTTCCTTCACTGTGCAGAAGCTTTATTATTTTGGTGTAGTCCCAATAGTTTAATTTTGCCTTAGTTTCCCTTGCCAGAGGAGACATATCTAGAAAAATGTTTCTACAGCTGATGTCTAAGAGATTCCTGCTTATGTTTTCTTCTCAGAGTTTTATGGTCTCAGGTCTTACATTTAGATCTTTAATCCATCTTGAGATTATTTTTATGTAGCGTGTAAGAAAGTGGTCCAGTTTTTCCAACATCATTTGTTGTTGAAAAGACTGTCTTTTTCCCATTGTATATTCTTGCCTCCTCTGTGGATTAAATTAACCATAAAAGTGTGGGTTTATTTCTGGGCTTCTATTCTGTTGCACTGATCTGTGGATTTATTTCTGTGCCAGTACCACACTGTTTGATTGCTGCAGCTTTGTAGTATATTATGAAATCTGGGATTGTGATACCTCCAGCTTTGTTTTTCAAGATTGCTTTGGCTATTCAGGGTCTTCTATGGTTCCATACAAATTTTAAGATTATTGTAATTCTGTGAAAAACTGTTGGCATTAAATCTTTGGATTGCTTTGGGTAGTATGGATGTGTTTTCACATGTATTTTAATAGAACATTGAAAGAATCTGCCTTGGGGACTACCAGCCTAATGAAGTTCCAAACATGACACCCTCTAGCTATTTCTTAGACAAAGCAACATTGCTGATAGTTTGCGTTTGGATGGTGCTTTACTGTGATACAGGCTGTACATTTAATCAAGAAGAAACATCTTCTTCAGGAAAGAAATGGGACAGAGAAATGGACTTGCAAATTGGTAATACTAAATAAATCCATAATAGCCAAGGACCTAAAATGAAATAACAATAACAAATTAATTTTTTATTTCCCAAAACATTTTATAGATTTGCCTTTGGGGATCTTGCATTGCTCATATCTATGACATGAGTAGTTCCTAGAAGGAAAAAAAACACATATTTATTTGAGGAGTCCCATCCAAAGCACAGGTCATATATGTGATTCTTCATACCTGTATAGGCAATTATAAGGTTTTGCCTGGCAGGCCTCATGGAGCAAAATTGCCCTCCCTGCATCAGACTCATTGTACAGCCAAGGCATTACAGTTTTCTTGGGGAGTTGCAGTCAAGGAGTCAGGTTCTCTTTGGACTAGCCATGCTCATTCATATAACTGCATTCTTAACTATGGCAGCTCCATTCCAAGGCGTCCTTACTGGGGCCTCAGTTGAAATACTTTCCAGTACCTCCACCCAGACTACTTTATTGGGGTACCTTAGCTGAGGCACTTTTCCCCACTCTTGACTCATTACTGTTCCATCTCTCCTCCCCTCAGCTCCCTGGGTCAATAAAAAGGCAGGAGCCTTTATTCAGAACTCTCCAGTGATAGGATTCCCCCAATCTGTGTTGCATATCAGATGACCCCCATCTGGTGTCATTCTTTGGGGAAATAAATGGAACATTGAGGAACCAGTGCCTTTCTCTTTTGCCTCATCTCCATACTGGTGTAGTAAGGAAACAAAGACTTGACTGTTACATTTAGTTTTCCTTGTTGTTCTAATTAACCATCCCAACCCAGCAGTGACAGTTCAACAGTAATCAATGGTGGTGTTTTTGTGAGAACACAAAAACAGTTTTTGGAACTGGTCAGATTGACTTGCTTTTACCTGTAATATGCTGCACTACCCAATAGGTAACCACTAGTCACATATGAGTATTTAAATAACTAAAATTAAATAAAAAATTCAATTCCTCAAAGTCACCATATTTCAAGTGCTCCCTCAATAACCAAAAGTAGTTAGTAGCTGTTATATAGGACAAGGCAGTTATAGATTTCCATCGTTGCAGAAAATTTTGTTAGCATTGCTCCAGAATTAAAAAAATAGTTTATAAGTTGCTGTGAAACGTAAAATCTGCAAGCCTTATCTAATTTTAGTTTTTAAGTACACTTAATGGAACTGTGGTTTTACACAATATGCCATTTCAATCAGACGTTCTGAATTCCCTGGGATTATGTGTGGTAGATACCTTCTGAAATAATTGTTTCTTCAAGAGATTGTGTAGGTGAATTTTTCTGTCTTCTTTCTTTCATGATAAGATTTGGTTTCTAGGTATAACCGAGTCACACTATGTTGAACACAAATCAGCACTCCAGAAGTATGCTGCTCAGTGCAAAGTTGTAACTAACTCAATAAATCTGACACTATCTAAGACAAAGGTACTATAAATTTAGTCATGCAGCACCATATTCATTTAGCTGTTTACAAGGGAAAAAGTGAAATCTAGTACAAGTTTTCTTGATTACTGGATGTCCTGTGAAGGTTACTTTCAGAGTAGGCCTAGAAATGACCTGAGGTATTTCACTGAAATATGAAATGTGACTGCATAGCAGTGACTCTCGATCAAGGCTTACAACAGTCTGAGAGTGTTGGGTAGTCATGGGTCCAAGGAGTTTCAGGGTGGTTTGTATCAGCTTGTCAGGATTGTTTAGTGGCAACAGTGAGATGGATGACTTCCACCTGATCTCAGTGAGACCCCCGAAAGGTTCTGCCCTTGGAACTGGTTTCATAGCAAGCAGTATACCCTGCTGTTCACGTAGGCCTAAGAGACCACAGCTGAAACTCTATTTTTCCTTCCTAGTTCCAAGGTGTTCCTGTGCACACATTTCTGATCCAAATAAAAGGTTCCTTCCAGTACAGTCTGTGGAAGGAAGATCAGTGAAGTCTGTCATTGCTTTCTCTAGAGGCTGACAGTGTCTTATCTTTACCTTTTGATGTTATTGGCGTTCTTGCTTATAGTTGTAGTTTCTTCGTCTTTGTTGCTAAATCACACCACCGTTTATTTATCCATTCCACGGTTGAAGGACTTTGGGTTGTTTCTAGTTTTTAGCTATTGTGCAATAATGCTGCTATAAACATTCTTAACTTTTACTACACATACATACACCTATCAGTTGGGAATATACCCAGGAATGAAATAATGAATCTTAGTTTTAGGTTAGTACTAAGAGAATTTTAGTCCAAGTCAAGTCACATGTGTAATTTAAAATTTTCTAGTAGCCACATTAAAAAAAAATTTTTTAAAGTGAAATTATGCATTTTACTTACCCAATGTATCCAAATATATTATCATTTCAGCATGTCATCAATATGAAAATTATTGATCAGATATTTTACATTCCTTTATACATATTAAATCTTCAAAGTTCAGTGTGTATTTTATATTCACAGCAATTTAGACTAGCCACATTTCAAGTATTTAATAATCAAATGTGGCAATTAAACACTATATAGGACAGGGCAGCGTTAAGGAATACTACCAGTTTTCCAAAGTGGCTGTGCCAATTTACATTCCTGAGAGTAGCGTATGAGCATTATAGTTGCTCCACATCAAAATTGGGTGCATACCCTTACTTTAATGCTGTTGCTGTACTGTGTCCTTTTCCTACTACAAACCACAACTTCATAACCATTGTTATTTTGGATACTATGAGTCTTCTTTAGCAATCAAGCCCTGTCTAACTGCCACCATAATTATATTACCTATGTAACCTTGACAAGTTACAGAGTCCCTTCATCTGTAAGTGGTCATGATAACAATACTTAATAAGCGACACATTATACATAAAGTGTATAGCCAGTACCTGAAAAAATGAAATACTCAATAAACTACTACTTTTTTCAGTGGGGGTCTTGCTGACCATGATGCCCCTCAATATTTAAAATCTAGTTCATGGTTATATTTTATCAATCCCATACTCTTACATTTGATTTTTTAAGTTTTCATTTCATATAGGTCTGGAAATCTCCACTTTTTGAGAAGCTCAGGGATTTCTAACCACATTCACCACTTTTCTTCTATCTTCAATCGCATTCCTGGAATTCTCAAAAATTTGTTTTCTTTTCTTTTCTTACACTGGGATTAGAGTCAGCCATTTTTTTTCACTGTCCATGATATTCTGAGATTCTAAAGAATCCCTACACACTACAACATAATTGATACTCTGGGGTCATTCCTCACTTTTCTACCTCCCTTGATGCTGTTTCTGTGCTTCTATGCACTCTCATCCTCTTACACTCAAATACTTTTTTTTTTTTTTCCGCCTGTGTCTGTCCTGAAAGCTGCTTGAAAGAGGACCACATTTGACATGCTCTCCTGCACCTCTCACACTCCAGCTCAGTTTGCTAAGATGCAGGTCATAAAACCATTCATGCATGTTGAAACCCCCAGTGGTGTGTTTCCAAGAGCATTTAAATAGAAATTATCACAGCATGTCATAATTAGTAAATGTGGGGAATCATTTAGACTATTCTGTTTATATAAAGTATGTACATGTGTGCACAGAGATGTGTATGTGCCTTCATGTATGTATGAGTATGTTGTCTGTAGTGATATGTTACTTTTAATGAAGTTGAATAATTTTTTTTAGATAATTTTCTTACTGTAGATCATAGTTATCAACATTTGAAAACAGTGCTCTACCGATTGATGTACACAAGGGGGTGAAGGAAGCATTCATCTAGATGCCATTTGCCATTTTTAGCCCACTTCATTTACATCCTAGGCAAAATCCCTTCCTTTGTCAAAACCCATGTGGTTTTCTACTGATGTCCCAATACCTTACCCATTTCCATGAAGGACTTTAGTACTTCACAATCTCTGTCCAAACTCCAAATCCCGACCTCATTCTGGGGAACATCTAACAAACTGTTCCTTAGCACCTTTAACTTACATGATTTTAACCTCTAATATTGTTTATCTGACCATTTCCAAGGTCATACTTTTGTCCCAATTCTTGCTTTCTCCCATTCTTTAGCTGTTTCATTCTCTAACCGTCTCTTATTTTTGAGTTCTTCATCCTCTTGTTCTCATTAAACATTCTCTGAGACTCCATTCTCCAGTGCTTCAATTTCCCCTCCTAAGTGTGTAACTGTCCTCCAAACTCTTTGTCCTCATTTAGCCAGCCCAGACTCCACTATCATCACCTCCATCTATCACTTGTCAATACCATCAACATCCTCACCTTTCTGCCCATTTGTCTCATCTTTTTGCAAAAAACCTAGACACTTTCCCATTCCCCTGTGCCTGAACTGGTGAGTGTTGCTAAAGCAAATTAAAAAAAAAAATTTAACTGTGCTAACTGAAAACACTAAAGTCTAAGTGTATCCCATCTGAGTAGTGACCCCCAAATCAAACATTAATCCTATAAACCATCACTAGTCAGATCCTTCACTTTGGCACAGGATGATATAGAGACTTCTATTCCTAGAAAGTTCTGGCTAGGGGCGCCTGGGTGGCTCAGTTTTTAAGCGTCTGCCTTCAGCTCAGGTCATGATCCCAGGGTCCTGGGATCGAGCCCCACATCGGGGTCCCTGCTCCACAGGAAGCCTGCTTCTCCCTCTCCCACTCTCCCTGCTTGTGTTCCCTCTCTCCCTGTGTCTCTATGTGTCAAAAAAGAAAGAAAGAAAGAAAGTTCTGGCTGATCAGATGGTAGCCACCTGGATGGACTAAGGGTAGACAAAGATATAAAGATGAACTTGGGCTCAGTTGAGAAAGTGCTATGACTGAACAATGATGTCTATCATGTGAGAAGGGAGGCAATGATGGCTTTTTGTCATATTTTTCCTATTGCTATTTTAACAGTGATTCCAAAGTTGCATTTCAAGTCTATACTCCTACCCCTACACTAATTACCTTAAGAGAGCCTGTGTTTTCTATAAGACTGGAGTCCATAATTTATATTCCCAGCCCAGATATCTCTCCTGAGGTTCAGAATCATGAATACAGGAGATTAGTTTGAGCAATATGGAATTTCTGTTGACTCTTTTGAGCTAAACTTGCCAATTTAACTTGGCTCAATCCAAAAGCTAGCTGTTATATAGGCACTTCAAATTTAACAACTATAAAAAATATTTGTAATCTTTCTTTCTTCAAATATCTACCTTTATATCTTGGTGAACATATATTTCTTTCCCAAGCCGAAACCCAATAATGCATTTTAAAATACTTTATCTACTAATCATACACAATTAATTACTAAATTCTGATAATTTTCCTCCTAAATGATTCTTATTTATATTCCTCCTTCTCCATTTCTAAGACACTTTCTTACTTCAGGCTTTCAGTATCTCCTACAAAGGTCTCATTTCTCACCAAGATCTTCCACTTTTGGTCATGTTCAATGCTTTCTCAGCACTAGTGCTTTGGTCATTCTTCTCATATTATGCAAAATTTGTCCAGAATGCTTCCTTTGTTTGGCATGTAATAATCTTCATATTTGATTCCTGCAAAGGGAAATCCAAAAAAAGGGCACTATTTTTTCCATTCCATATATACTATGCTCAGTAATGACACTATACCTTTATGTATTCTGTTTGATCTCCCTGGGATACACTGCTTTGTACTGCAAAAGGATAACTCCTGCTTCAAGTATCTTCCTCCTTCGAAAGTCATCTTTTTGACCTCTACCATCAGATTTAGGCTGCCTTTATCATATTTTCATCTTGGAGTTTTTACATTACTCTACTGTAGCAATTTTATTTCAGTGCCTGAAAACTCCCTTAGCATATAATGGATACTTAGTGAATATAGGTTAAAAGAACAAATGGATGATTCTCAAGTATAACATAGAACTCAACTGGGCTAGAGTAGTCCTTATTTTCTGTCATCTCTCAGTATTATATCATGTGCCTATCTTTTCTAAGTTCTAGCTGTGAATATAGTTTTAAAGTATACTTATACTCTTAGTAATTTATAAAGGTAAGACTGATGAATCACAGACCTGTACCTCTGAAACAAATAATACATTATATGTCAAAAAAAAAAAAGAAGAAGAAGATAGTAGGAAGGGAAAAATGAAGAGGGGGAAATCGGAGGGGGAGACGAACCATGAGAAACAAACTGAGAGTTCTAGAGGAGAGGGGGTGGGAGGATGGGTTAGCCTGGTGATGGGTATTAAGTAGGGCATGTATTGATTGAATGGAGCACTGGGTGTTATACGCAAACAATGAATCATGGAACACTACATCAAAAACTAATGATGTAATATATGGTGATTAACATAACATAATAAAGTTTTAAAAAAAAAGTCTAAGTTTAAAAACTGGGGAAAGAGGAAGCATATTTACTGGGTTATTTAGTATCCAGTATAGACAGACAAATGGGCAAAAATGTATAGAACAATACTTATAAGCACATGGAAATGAATAAGAACACTTCTGTGAAATACTTCTCAAGATAGTTAAAAGCGTGAGGTAAAATCATCATTTTTAATCACACAGTACATGTGTACAAGTTTTATAACACATTATCATTGTTAACATGCATTACATAAGTGGAAAGATATTTGGGTAAGTGATTTTGTTTTTAAAATGGGCATTTTTGAGCAAAATCTTGTCAGAAATAAGCAAATCAATGATTAGTTCACTAGACTTAAAGGGCAGCTGTCTGCTCCAAAGGAGGATGGCCTCAGGACTCAGCTTTTCCTTAAAGAAGGCTGCCAGTTTGAAATGCCTGTATATTATAAGCTTTAGCTGAAAGCAAAAGTGATTCTTTCCAAATAAACAATGTAGTTTGCTAATATGTACCAGAGAAACATGATGTTATTACTTGTACTTCCACAGCAATTTGTTTGTTTCCCAATGCAAGAGAGCTCCCTTCCCTCATGCTTACCAAAAAGAGGTAAGAGAAATAAAGATGGCTTCTGCTTTCTAGACAGAGTATTGATTGTACAACAAACCAGTAAGGACGAGTAAGTACTAAATGGAAATCATAATAACACTATGATGATCTCTGTGGACAAAAATCAATAGAAAGGGAATGGTTTTATAAGAGATATACAATGTTATTATTCTAATATCTCAGGTCATAAAGCTGAGGCATTTGAGTGTGACATGACATATTAGCTGAACTGACTGGGAAACTATGGTGACTAGAATAATCTCAGCCATTTCTGAGTGTGCATATCTCGTACCTCCCCACCCACATACACATAGCAGTGAGCTCCAGCTACACTTCCTTTCAATTCCTGAGATTCCTTTTCACCTCAGGGCCTTTAATCTTGCTGTTTCTTCTGACTGAAACATTTTTCAACCAGATCTGTCAGTGACTGGTTCTTTCTCATCGTTCAGGTCTCTGCTCAAAAACATTTCCTATGAGAGGACTTGCCAAACCATTGTATCTAAAGAAAGTTATGCTTTACCTCATGCCATTGTCAAGCCCATTGCCTTCGCATCCTAACTGTACCCCTTTCTGTGGTTGTTTCTGTCTTATCCAGTATTGTCTTCCCCAGACACCAAACAGTTATTTGGAATATAGTGGGTACAAAACACACGTTTGTTAAATGAACGGATGAATATCTTCTAATAACTGATTTTTCTAGTATATATGTCTTGTCACCTTTTCCCCGAGATTGCTAATTTCTTGATGGCAGAACTAGGACAATGCTCCCTTCTCTTGCCTATTCTCCCTACAGAAAGCTATACCCAGTCCATCCCTTTAGATCTTTTCCATTTTTGATTCTTTAAATAAATATTAACACTTTGTGGAGGAAGAGCCTTGCTATTTATAAGTGTTCATTGTTTGTTTTCATTTGCTTGGCTGTTGGTCAGCCACATTTTTCTGTTGGTATAATAAGACAGATGTAAGACATTCTTACTATTTTTCTTTCTTACCTGCTGTTCCAGGAACAGTTACCATGTGAAAGTTATCTCCCCCCATCCCTAAAACAGAAAACACCATTTTCTCTTCAACTGAACATAGAAACCAGGAGAAAGGAGAAAAAGCAAGTCAGCATTTTGAAGCCTTTAGAGATGCATGATATTCAACTGACTAACTGGTTCTTATACTTTAGTTACTGCCTCATTACCTATAAAAGAGAAATTATCTTGAGTTCAAAGAAAAAGATAAACCATAGCTTTTATTCCATAAGGGAAAAGTCTACTTATAGCTTAAAGAGTCTATGTGAGTAATATTGATACAAAGTGTAGAAGAGAACTATTAAATTGCTTCACTAAAGTATTAGTAATAGATTTCTTCTAGGTCAGTAACATTTTGCCCCATTTTTCTGGAGCATTAATTATTTACTCATTAGGTTCCTTTGGTCACTATGAAATTATTACCTTTTAGTCAATCTGTAAATTTTCTATGTTTTCCATTCCTGTCTCATTTTAGAATGTTTTTCTGAAAGAAAAATTTGCCATCTAGTGTTTGAGTGTATTTGTGGGTTCAAGATTAAAATTTAAATGCTGCATACATACACCTGAGAACCCAACATCTAAATTATGGCTTGCAAGAAAACTTATTAGCATTTTAAACAATTTTCCCAAGTGTAAATTCAGAAAAAAAATCCATTTACTTTCTCTTTTTTTAATCTCAGGCTTAAGTTGTAATTTTGCAGTACCCAATATCTCTCTGAAGCCCATGGTATATATTCTTCTACTTCTTTTCTAACTATGCATTTCATACTTATCCTTTCGAGTTGCTCTTGAAAGAAAATTAATGGGCTCCTTATTCAGTATTGCAGTGTTTCAGGTAGCAAATGCATGACAGGTACTTAACCAATTCCTGAGTAGCCAACCAGTGAGTGTGGCATTAATGATTTTGGAGAAAGTTAACTAAGTACATCTATCACTTTGTCATGTGTGATAAAAGACTGCATCAATCAGAGCATAAGAGGGAATTGTCTTTGCTTCTGTCTGTGGGTACTACTGAAATCTGCTACAGAAATCAACAGAATAGGTATGGTAAGCTATATTTGTTGAGTAAATAAAACAAATGGAAAAACAGAAAGTAGGAGATTGGTAACAGAGCTCCCAGAATAAAGCAGAGGTCAGTTTCCTGAGATAGGAACCATCTTTATGAAATTGACATTCCTGAGAGGTTTTCCCAATATTAGTGTCTTATAAACATAAACTAAATGGTTGAACTGTTAAATTTTTCCAAAGTCCTATTTAACCTGATACATAGAAGAAACAAATTGATATTCCAGTCCTGGGTGTTTAACTCCATTATTTAATTCTAGTCTGTATGGAATTCACTTGGGAGGTTCTCAGTGCACTTGCATCCTAACATTAAACCTAATGGCTGTCTTTACAGCAGGGTCCCTCCTATACTTTTATCTTTCCACCATTGGAATCTCTACATCTCAGCACATCCTGCCATCTGAAATTTCATTAGCAAAAGGAGATGAGGACAAAAGGGCCTAACGAGTGAGGAAAATAAGCATTTGCTGAATGAATGATATAAATGAAGGGATTGAGGAAGCAGATAAGAGGTCCAAGATGACAGTCCTTAATGCATTCATGGAAATTATATGAGCAAGGAAAGAATATAATTTTGAAAAAACCAATGATAAAGGAAGCAATAAGTTAACTTTTTTTAATAAGTTAACTTTCTTCACAGAAAGATAAAGCAATGAATGATTCAGTTATGAAAGAATGAGAATTGAGAACTACCTTCAAATAATTCGCACATATATATACAAAATTTTTTAAAAAGCTATTACATACTCTCATGAATATCTAATAAAGTGCAAACTGACACAATATTCCTGGGGGAAAAATTTAGTAAAATTTATAAATAGCCTTAAAATTGTTACTATCCTTGGCCTCAGCAATTCCTATACAACAACTGAATCTGAAGTTATATTCTGAAATTAAAGAACTGTACATGAACACAATAATGGTGTTATTTGTAATAATCAAAATATCGAGCCAACTTAAAATATTTCTCTATTGTTGAAAATTAAATAGGATATATTCATTCAAATATTTTTGGAGAATAAGACATAGATCATGATTCATTATATAATGTTAGGTTAATAAAATAAAAACTGCACATAATCCCCTGTATATACTTACTACCATTTTTTATAAATAAACCTAAATAGACAAACATATTTATTTTCATGAGATAGAAGTTTTCATTTGCTACAGGAATCCTTAAAAAATAACTGCATAAAGAAACCATAGTATGTTATGGAAAGAGCTTTGGCATTTTAATAATCTGAATTCAACTTATTCCATTACATGGCAAAAACATTTAGTGCTTACTGAAGTTTCTATAGGCTTAACCTCTCTTTGGCTTAGGTTGGAGTGTGGAAGTAGTTCTGGCTGCCTGAACAAAGCCCTATGAAAAACATTGCTTCCCTGCCAAGAAGTTAAGCACCTATCTACCTCTACCATCTCTCTCTTCCTTTGCCATGGTGTCCTTCCAGGCTATGTATTCCAGATAGTGGCTAGTGTAACCATAAGATGGAGGAGGACAGTCCGAGTTGGAAAGAGTCAGAAAGAGATTTACTGCTTTAAGACAGTGAAGTTTCAGGGATTGTCTGTTCCTGTAGCAGAACCTAATCTATCCCAACTAATACATGTTACTTAATAGCACCTATGAACTTGAGATATTAAATCATTCTGAGTCTGTAACTATTTCCTCACTTATCAATCTAGGATTAAGAGTACTGAAACGTATCTCATAGGGCTGCTTTAAGGATACAAAGTTTTACTCATGCAAGATGAATAAGTTCTAGAGATCTACCATACAGCATGGGGTCTAGAGCTGATAATGTATTATATACTTAAAAATTTTCAGTTCAGGGAAATGGCAGAGTAGGAGGATCCTGAGATCACCTCATCCCATGGACACACTGAGATAACAGCTATACATATCCAACTATGTATAGCTGAAATATGACCTAAAGACTGGCAGAACAGACTCTGAAAATGACCTAAAGACTGGCAGAATAGGGCGCCTGGGTGGCTCAGTTGGTTAAGCGACTGCCTTCGGCTCAGGTCATGATCCTGGAGTCCCTGGATCGAGTCCCGCATCAGGCTCCCTGCTCGGCGGGGAGTCTGCTTCTCCCTCTGACCCTCCCCCCTCTCATGTGCTCTCTCTCTCTCTCTCATTCTGTCTCAAATAAATAAATAAATAAATAATCTTTAAAAAAAAAAAAAAAGACTGGCAGAATAGACCTTCAACAATTAATTGTAGACAAGAAGCCATATCTAAGATGGTAGAATGGATGGTGATATGGTTGGGAACCAAACTCCTGGTAAGACTAACCACAAAAGGAAAGGATACCACAAGCAAGGAGAAGCACCATACTGGGCACCTGCACTAGGAAGACAAATTCCCATAACATCTGAACATAACATTTGAAAATCAGTGGGCCTTAACTCCAGGAGAGCCAGAGTGTGATAGGAAACTGAGACCCTGCCCTTAAAGAGCCAGCATAATAAATAACTCAGCCTGAGACACAGGAGAAAAGCAAGTTTAAAAAGTGCCTGGGGTAAACATGAGGATTTTTCCAAGAATAAAAGTACTGGCAGATATTCTTTCCTTCCCCAAGCTAAGATAGCTAGATGCTTCTGGGAGGTAGTGCTAACACTCCAGGGTACCCCTGCAGACCCACCTGCCTGATCAAGTGTACCTCCAAAGTGGCTCCAGTCCTGCCACATTCAACAGGCAGCCACAGCAGGGACCATTCCTGCCCTGGGGAAGAGGGAAGATAATCCCACTCACCAGCATGCCCAAAGTTAAAGCAGCCCAGCCATTTAGCTGGCCAGACAGGGAGCAAGCCTTGCCATCTGGTGAGCCCACAACTATAGGAGAGACTAACTGCATACAACTAGCCTGACTGCAGGCTCTACTCCCTAAGGAACTCCCAGTGGCCTCATACAGACCTCTCAACAGCATAAAGAACAAACCCTGCCGACCATATCCACAGCAGGCAAAGTGAATCCCTGCAGCTGGCTAGGCTGAAGGCAAATGGAGCTCAGCCACAGCATAAGGTGCACTTGGCCCACAGAGGAGACAGCCCTGGAGCACTTGGATCTTATGACCAGGGAGGGATTGTGATATAGGGCACCACAGGACCTCTTCTACGCAAGGCCTCTACTTTAAAGACCAGAAGACAAAGCTGACCTACCTAATCCATGAAAACAAACACAGAGAGTTAGACAGAATAAGGAGACAGAGGAGTATGTCCCAAATGAAAGAATAAGACAAAATCACAGTAAAAAACCTAAATGAAATGGAGATAAGCAATATGCCTGATAAATAATTCAAAGTAATGGTCATAAAGTTACGAACTGCACATGAGAAAAGACTGGATGAGCTTAGAAATATAAAAAAGAACCAGTCAGAGATGAAGAATTCAATAACTGAAATAAAAAATACACCAGAGGGAATCAACAGCAGAAGAATGGATCAATGATCTGGAAGACAGAGAAATGGAAAGCAACTAAGCTGCAAAGCAAAAAGAAAAAAGAGTAATATAAATGAGAATAGGTTAAGGGAACATGTCAACATCATCAAGTGTAACAGCATTATAGGGATCCCAAAAGGAGAAGAGAGAGAAAAGGGAGTGGAAAACTTTTTTGAAAAAATAATAGCTGAAAATTTCCCTAATCAGATTAACAGATATCTAGGTCCAGAAATTACAGAGAACCCCTGACAAGATTAACCCAAGGAGGTCTACATCACGACACATAATAATTAAAATGGCATAAAATTATGATACAGATTTTTAAAAGTAGCAAGAGAAGTGAAAATGGTTACATATAATGAAAATTTCATAAGGCTATCAGCTAATTTCCCAGAAGAAACTATGGATACCAGAGGGAATGGCACAATATATTCGAAACACTAAAAGGAAAACATCTATGACCAAAAATACTCTACCCAGCAAGGTTATCATTAAGAATTGGAGGGAAGATAGCTTCCCAGACAAGCAAAAGTTAAAGGAATTCAAC